AGGCAAGTGGGCCGGCTTCTGTTGCTTTCCCAGACGCATCAGCAGGAAGCCAAATGGGAAGTGGAGCAGCCAGGACTTTAACTGATGCTGCAATATGGGATTCCAGCTTCACAAACAGCTGCTTAACCCACGGTACCATCATGCTGGCCCCTAGAAATTTAATTTTCTGATTTAATACTCTGAACACAAATCTCTAAAACTGTGGCTTTCAATATAATAATCACTAGTCATATACAGATGTTTAAATTAAAATTTGAGGGGCCAGCATTTGTGGCATTGTAGGTAAAACAGCCACCTGTGATGCGAGTATCTCATTTGGGCACCAGTTTATTTCATGGCTGCTCCACTTCGGACCTAGCTTCCTACTAATGGCCTATGAAAACAGCTAGGATGATCCAAGTGCTTGGGCTCCTGCCACCTATGTGGGAAACCATGATGAAGCTCCTGGCTCCTGGCTTCAGCCTGGCCGGGCCCAACCCTGGCTGCAGTACCCATTTGGGGAGTGAACAGTAGATGCAAGATTGATCGATTGATCTTTCTCTCTCTCTCTCTCTCTCTGTCTCTCTCTGTCTCTCTCTTTCTCTTTAAGTCTGATTTTCAAATAAATAAAAAAACTTGAAAATTAAATTTTAAATTAAAAATTGAATTACATTAAAAGTTCAGTTTCTCAGTCATGCAAGTCACATTTCAAGTGCTTAAAAGTTACCTGTTGCTGGTGGCTACCACACTTGTCTGCAAAAATACAGAGTGCTTCTCCCTGATAAAAGTCAATGAATGGCTGCAGAAAATTCCACTGGCTGATGCTGTTCTAGGTTCTGAGATGAAACTGACTTTTGCACCCATCACACTTTCTCACTCTGCATAGATCTGAGGAAACAAGCCTCACTGCAAAGGTGCGGGATCGCTGGGGACCCTCCAGGGTCATCCAAGACCAACCAGACCATTCTGGTCCTTGGGCGAGTCTCTCCCTAATAGGGCTGATTGACAGGCCACAGCCTACGAAAATACTCTGCTTCCAAAGTTTATTTGTAAACTATTTTGACCTTAAAATAACTTTATCCAGTTCTCAGGCTACCCTTAAAATTCCAGTTACCTCAGAATTCAGCTGAAATTTTATACAGTGAGCGGTGGAAAAAGACTAGCATTGCCATTTTGGGCTACCTTGGAACCGGATGATTATGCACAGTGAACGCAAAGTGTCCCCAGGAGTAAAGAGGGAAAAAGAGTGTCAGTGGAGACATTTCTGGTCTCCTTTCTTTCTCTGCCTCCACCACGGCAGAAGGTCAGCAGCAAGAAGATCAGAGAACTGGAGGACGTTTCTCATGCTCCAGGGGCCTCTTGCAATCTGAGGAAAGAGCCAAACATGCATACGGGATATCTGCAAGGGAGTCATTATGAACAGAAATCACACAGTCTAGTAAAGATAATTCCTTACAACTTACTACAACTCAGTGCCGTAGAGACCTTGCCTAACTGTTTCTCCAATGTCACACAGTCTCACACACACAAAAAAAATTGTCATATGTAGCATTGATGCAGGTCTTTTGAACCTTAACAAATAAATAAAAAAAGAGAATAAAAATTTACTAGGTTTCACTATTTTTTAAATTACGCATGGCCAAAAAAAAACCATAAATAAGATTAAAATACAAAAATAGTAAAAATATTTGTAACACACTCAATAAAATATTAGCATCCTCTGTAAAATCTCCTGAACCAGTTAGAAGTGAGTCCCTTAAGAGAAAAATGGACAAACAAGGATGAGCAAGTCATAAAAGAGAAAATGAAAATGGCTAAATCAACAAGAAAATTGAACAGCTGAATGATAATCCAAGAAATACAAGTAAAAAAAAGAGAGAGATCAATTTGCCTATCACAACAAATAAAAAGGAGAAAATCAATTTTAACTGGTAATTTCTGGAAGTCATTATTACTGGAAGTCTGCAACAGGGAACACAGCTGTTGGCACCTGTTAGGTAGAAGTAGCCTCTTTCCTGGCCTCAAGAGGGAAGGCACACAATGCACTGTACATAAGCCCTCATCCCTCTGAACATGCAAACTACATCACATACTACACAATACCCTTCCCAAAATCGTGGAGAATTTTATTAAGGAATGGGCATGAAACACTGAAAGATCTGACTTTTATGGAATGCTACTTTATTATATTTCACATGAAGTCATTTTAAAGCATTTGCAGTCTGTAGTCTGCATCTTCTCTGCATTGCTTCTTAGCATTGACTCATTAAGTATTCTCCATCTGATTCAAGGCAAAATATGCTTCTGATCAAATATGCACTCACATGCTCTTTGGCAAGCTAGAAACCAAATGAGAAAAATCATAAATCTGGTACTAAATGTTCTGAAGGAATGGTATATGCTATACCTTCCTATCAGAGAAGCACACATATGGATTGCAAGATGTCAACAAACTGTGCCTGTGACTTTTCTCACTCCCGATTAAAAAAATCATAGAAAGATCAATAAAATAAGCCATATTACTATATCTGGATTAATAAATTACAAACCTAGCTCCTTACTTCTCAAATGGAAATCATTCAAAAACACTTTGAAAGACACTCAAGATGTACTTGGAATGTACATTTTAATAACTATATCTGCATGAAAGTTAAAAATAAATATATCTGATATCCCAACGCTGGTACCAATTTTGATGTCATTAATCACTTACACAATATGGTTCTCCAAACAAAGTCTGCTACTGGGCTATGAAATCATTTTATCACTTCGAGTATGCTCCTTGATTAAAAATATTCTGTACTTTCTCTACTTAAATGAACATAAGTGATCAATTATTACTACCCTTTAATCATACATGCAAAGTTCACTTTTATGCCACAGTTGTGTCATTTCACATTTGAACCATTTTTACACGTTCTTAATGATCACAGCATTAGCATCTAATAAATCACATACACAGTAAACAAAATCCTTTGCAATTCATAGGAATCATGGTCTAAAAATGCAATTCCGTATATGACCATTTAGTAAGATTAACAACAATAGAATTTCACAAAATGAGATGTAGACATGCAATTATGTTATAAAAGAATAAATGTTTCTATTCAAATAACAAAATGCATTAATCAAAATTCTAGGCATAAGACCAAATATCATAAATTAATTACTAAGAAGAAAAAAATCTGAAAATGTACCATCTTCAAGTATCTCTACAGAAGATTCTAAACCCCCTCAAATATACTTTATAAAATAAATTTTAATGCACATTCATTTTGAAAAATGCACTTTTTTTTTTGTTTTTTTTTTTGTTTTGTTTTGTTTTTTTTTGACAGGCAGAGTTAGAGAGAGAGAGAGAAAGGTCTTCCTTTGCCGTTGGTTCACCTCCCAAATGGCCGCTACAGCCAGTGCGCCGCAGCTGGTGCACTGAGCTGATCTGAAGCCAGGAGCCAGGAGCCTCCTCCTGGTCTCCCATGGGGGTGGAGGGCCCAAGGACTGGGGCCATCTTCCACTGCACTCTTGGGCCACAGCAGAGAGCTGGACTGGAAGAGGAGCAACCGGGACAGAATCCGGCGCCCCAACCAGGACTAGAACCCGGGGTGCCAGCACCGCAGGTGGAGGATTAGCCTAGTGAGCCGCGGCGCAGGCCTGCCATTGTTTTTTAATAAATATTTCTTTCGGGGTCACTGCATGCAAAGTTCTGGGCTATGTACCAGGAGTACAGAAAGATGTAATGACAATAGAAAGATGGATGAGCCATCTTTGGTAGACTTAAACAGGAAACAATCTAACAGCAAGGATAAGACCTACACATCCCAAACCACAGAATTTAATAACCTGAAGAGATGTTCAAGTTTCCTTAGTTCAATATCTGTACTTATAAGAAATTCTGTGTTCAAAACAGAAAAATTTCTTTCTGATTTCTCAAAAGTCCACCTTTAAGCCAACATTAAATGATTAGGATTTTGCTTGACTTTTTCCACTTGGAAAATGCCTCGGCATAACCTTGACCACTCATCTTCTGTATTAATGGTTTTCTCCTGAACAAAGCACACATACACACACACCAATATCTGTCAGCTATCATATGATGCATATACTTGACCTGTTGCAACTTGTCCTTTTGCCTTCACATTTTGTGGGGATTTCCCCCTTTTCTGGTGTTTTTCCCTTTTTGAAGCAGAAAAATCCATATATCACTCTCTCATGGTTTTATCTTGAGGCCACTGGTAGAAAGATTAGAGTATCACTAGTGTTTCCATCCAGTAGTTGTATGACTTCATTGACAAGTTTGACTATTCAGTTCATGTAGGATTTTGTTCTGGGGCACACTGTGAACTAAAACTCTATTTCATTTTCCACATGCCTATAACATTACAGTTGAACAGATACACTAAAATATACACATGGAGAATGAAGGAGGAAAAAAAGAGGAAGAGCAAAAAGAAAACCACACTCAAATCCGAGAACAATTCGGCGAGCCTCAGACTCCACCGGCAAATTCCAAGATCACAAAACTGACCAGCAACCATAGGGTCCTGAAGGAAAGAAAGGACGGCCCAAGCGCCAAATGTCTGACCAGGACCAACACAGCAGACGACAGGAAGCAGCCACCTAGGAGACCTTCCCGGTAGGTTCCATTTCATGATGAAAACCAGACAATTAAAATATGAATTACAACTAACATCCAGGGATAGAAAACTCAAGGTAAAAAAAAGAAGTCGCTGTCGCCGCGGCTCACTAGGCTAATCCTCCGCCTTGAGGCGCCAGCACATCGGGTTCTAGTCCCGACAGGGCGCCGGATTCTGACCCGGTTGCTCCTCTTCCAGGCCAGCTCTCTGCTGTGGCCATGTAGTGCAGTGGAGGATGGCCCAAGTGCTTGGGCCCTGCACCCCATGGGAGACCAGGAGAAGCACCTGGCTCCTGGCTTCGGATCAGCGCGGTGCACTGGCCATTGGAGGGTGACCCAACGGCAAAGGAAGACCTTTCTCTCTCTCTCTCTCTCTCTCACTGTCCACTCTACCTGTCAAAAAAAAAAAAAAAAAAAGAAGTAGTCACGGTGATACTGGATTCCATTATGAAACTAAGTATTAATGTTATTAGGCTTGATCAAGTAAGAACACTACTGTAACAAAGGGAAGGTCTAGGAAAGTAGGGCATGCGTAAGCATCTTTCATAGGTTAGTGCACACGGTCTAACAGAGACATGCATTTTAAAGCCACAAACCTAACTGAGTTGTTTTTTCTCATAATCTCATTTCTTAACTTTAGATAGCTGGATCTTCCAAAATAGATAGTATTTCTTGAAGTGAAGAAGCATTCTTTTAAGTACCAGTTTCTTTTCCTTTTTTAAAAATTTAATGAAAAATAAATCTAATAACTTTTATTTAAAATAATAGACATAGAATGATCAGCAGGTCAATAGGAAGGCAAAGAGGGAAGGTGGATTTAGAAAGGGAAGGAAATTGTATTTCTAGTTATCTAATGTACTATGAAGGGTCATCTGAGGAGTTACTTTCTAATTTCTTCTTTCTATCTGAATTTTTCATCATACAAAAATAATAGTGATACTTTTCTCTCTTATAAAATACTAAATGAAAAGGAGTAATAAAATAAAGTAATGGAGGTTTGAAGGTATTACACATCTTTTGGAAATGAAAATGTGAGTCTGATCCACAAACTACTCTTGTGGACATCAAACTTACAGCTCTCAGATTTCAGGTGGAGGGACAGGTCTCTGGCACCTTTTAACCTCCCCTCTGCAGAGTTGCAGGGGCGGGGGACGGAGTGGGGGAGGGGAGGTGCCTCTGCCTCCTGTGTACTTTAGCACAGAATCCAAGTCTACGCATATTTAGGAGGTCTGCTCCCCCTTCCCAGACCACACCTGCAACGGCTACTCCCGCCATGCCTCCGTCACACTCTGGGCAGGGGTCCAGTGCCCAGCACTGGGCAGGAACGCAAGTCTGTGTTGAGCGAAGGGCAGGGTATTCCTCTGGCTGCTCTCACCTCCGCTGGAGTTTGCACACAGACGGCTCCCAATTCATCGTCCTCTCCTCAGCTCCCTTCATGTAGGCATCCCCGAAGTCTGGTCCTCACTCACTCCTGGCCTCCACGCTGTCTCTGAAAAGCGCATCCTCCCCCAAGTTCCAGCTGAGCGCCAACCCTAAAGTGTGAAGTACATGCTGGAAACATCTGCAGGAAAGTTCCTCAGCCCCTCAAATTTGCTGTCGGGACTGAACTACCTTCTCCTCCCCTCCTGCTTCCCACCTGACTGCCCGGCTACTCCTACCCTCCCATCTCCGACACCATGCTGCCTGGTGGTCAAGTACACCAGCAATCCAGGAGTGTCTTCAACTCCTGCTGGTGCCTGTGTCCCCCTATTTTATAGCTCCGCAAAGTGTCTCAAGTACATCCCAACCCTCCCCGAACACCGACATGGTCTAATGCTCACGCTTACAGTATAATGAAAGAATGTCAGGTTTAGGTTCTAAAAACCTAGGATTTGAGCACCAGCTCTGTTCTGAATTTGCTCAGAGACCTTGTACACACTAGCTTACATTCTGAATATAAATCTCCATATTACGGGGTCAGGGCCACGGCACCGGCATCTCATATGGGCGCTGGTTCTGGTCCTGGCTGCTCCTCTTCCAATCCAGCTCTCTACTGTGGCCTGGGAAAGACGTGGAAGACGGCCCAAGTTCTTGGGCCCCTGCACCCACGTGGGAGACCTGGAAGAAGCTCCTGGCTCTTGGCTTCGGATCGGCGCAGCTCTGGCCATTGAGACCATTTGGGGAGTGAACCAGCAGATAAAAGACCTTTCCCTCTGTGTCTCCCTCTGTCTGTAACTCTACCTTTCAAATAAATAAATAAAATACTAAAAAAAAATCTTTAAATTATAGGGTAACTCTGAGGAATATATGTACACGCACATATATGGTAGGTATATACATATTTTATGTATATAGACATGATCCAGACATCTATGGGAACAGAATTATTGTATACAGTATACTGTGTGTGTGTGTATATATATATGCACATATATAGGTGTCTGGTGTTTTTATGCACACAAATACGCATGTATGCGTGTATACACATGTATGATATTATGAACATAAATACAAATAAGAGGCAGTATTATTATTAGGGATGTTACAATGTCTGATCTTGTCTACAAGAGTAATGTCTCATCTTTAATCTCAGTTCTCCAGGCAACCTTTCATGCTGAAACATGCATTATTTTATTAGAACGTCGTTTGTGTCTTCCTACTTGTTTGCAGTTTGCTCTCCTCTGCCAACGGAATAAAACCAGAAGTCCATAGCACGGATTTCAAGGTGCCCCATTATCTAACTCCACCTTGGCTTTCAGACCCCACCTCCCAGCGTAACCCCTCCAACACCCAGGCTCTACCTTCACCCTATAATTGCCTTTCCCCAGACACACCCTGCATTTATGCTGCTGCCTCTGGTCTGGAATTTCCATTTTTGGAAACCTCTCCCTCAAGGTCCAATTCAAATGTCACCTTCCCTATAATACCTCCACTGATTTGTGATCAAAAATTGGATCATATTCTCCCTTTATTACCGTTCTGTCTTGCAAATAATTATTACATTTCTTTCCTTCCAAGTTAATTTAAATTCTTGAAAGATAGTGACTTTGGAACATTCACTTTTGACTCTCGATCATGCATTAAATCTTTGATACAGTAAGCATCTGATGAATGTTTATGGAATGGAATAACGTAAACAAGGCCCCTTTACATCTTTTAACTTCAAAGTTAAATACAGAATAATATATAAGTTAAATACAGAAAAATTAAAGTTATATAGCGAAAGTGTATAATCAATCAATGGTTAGCTGTAGGCATCTTTGTAAATGCAAGTGAAGGAAAAATTTTAAAAACACATTTTTAAGCTTTAAGCTAAACAGAAATACTGTTTGGTGCTCCCTCTGCTGGCTTTGCTTCAGCAGCTTAGAATGTTGAACAATAACCACAAAGAAGGGAACACAGGCTCTGCTCTCCGCTCCCTTTGCCTCCTGCAAATAACCAGAAAAGTCATTTTCCATTGTGTTCATTTGGAAATAATCCCATCTGTAAGAAGAATTCACTTTGAAAGTCATTGATAAAGAGACAAAACTGATTTGCAGTTTTGATGAGAATCACTCCAGTACAGAGCTCCTGTTTATATCTTTGTTTTCTAACTACTTCATGTATAAACAACTTTAAGTTTTAGCTGAAATTGTTGAGAAACAAGGAAGGATGATATCCTTTTGCTTTCTGATTAATCTACATTTATGTTTTAAAAAACTGAATAGGCACATAAGAGGTTAAATTCTTCTTGTGTTTCTAAACAGAGTTATTCTGAGTACCCTGAAGGCATTTAATTCCAAAACAGGAAGCCACAGAGAGGAACACTTGGTTACACTAATGTTATGCAGATCTTGTGGAACTTATTTTCCTAAACACTTGCTGAAAGAACCTTCTCTGTACTGCAAGCTCTCACTTGAAGTTGGAGCTGGTTCCCTGCCTGCTCCAGCCACCCTATTGTCCTCCACTTTCCTTACTCTAAAATGTTATCCTGCCTCTCACAGTAAGAGTGGTAAGAAAACCAGGCGGGGTCAGCCAATGCTCCTACAGACACTGTAGTTTAGTCGTTTTGCCTACAGGTGAACAAGAACTACGATAGGGCTTATGACAGTCGATTTTTCTTAAATGATTGCGCAGCAAGATTAACCCGAGACCTGCAGAAGACATCGCTATTAAAGATCAGTGTCCTTTCTGATAAATTCTTGTTTTAAATGCTTCTAACTCGACTATGAAACCGCTTTAATCTAAACCACGTTCAGTGAGATCACACCCTTGCAGCTGAAACAAAGAACAAGAGCAAAGCACAGGCGCGCGGGCAAGGCAGTGGATTCACGGAGTGAAGAGATGTGGTTGCTGGGGCTCCCTCTGTGACCAAGCAAATCACACGACCCTGCGGATCTACTGCCCCACCTCTCACATGTGAGTCCAGTGCACGGGTGAGCAACACGCTCCTGCCTACCCAGGTGAACTAGCTAGGGCCACTACAGATCCCCAGGTACAGGGCAGTACAAAACCAGCAATGCTGTTGGATTCCATATACCATTTCAAGGCCATTTTTTAAAAATAGCTCTTCTTTAGTTTCTGTCTTCGTTTATATTCAGTTATGTTTTAAAGAAAGTAACTGATCACAGAGCAATTATCCTTCTGTGCTGGAAATTAAGGTTTCATGCACATTCTTGATTATCCATAAAAATGAAGTGCGGCAACACTAAAGCCCTAGTCTAGTCCGAGGAAGCCAAACAGGAAAAATAGTCAATATATTTGGATCTGCCTGTGAGTTACACTCAAAGAATTTATGAAAATATTTACTCCATTGTTAACTTTTCAACATTAAGACTTCTGTTGAAATCAGCTATGAGAAAGTCAAACAGTATTTTTAATCCATTCTGCATGGCTTAGAAATTATTTTTCCTTAAGAAATGTCCAACTGGGGTGGATATTTATTGTATCTGTTAAGTCGCAACCTGGGAGGCCCCTGCAGCCCCTACAGGAGTACCTGGTTGGAGTCTCAGTTCCTTTGCTTCCAATCAAGCTTCCTGCTACTGAACACCCTGGGAGGCAGCAGGTGATGACGGCTGCCTCCCACGTGGGAGACCCACACTGAATTCTGGGCTTCTGACATCAGCCTGGTCCAGTCTTGGCTCTTGTGGGCATTTGGGGAGTGAAGCAGAGAATGGAAGATATTCATTCTCTCTGTCTCTCTCTCTCTCTGCCTTTCAAATAAAACAAAAATACACAAATATTTTTTAAAGAGACACCTCCAGAAGACAGAAAGAAGGGCTTAGCCACTATACTCTCTGGCTACTGGAATTCTTGTGCTGAGATTTTTGACTGCTACCTTCTTCATGGGCTGAGGTCAAAGGGTAGTTGTGAACTTGGGGGCTCTCTGTTAGTTGGGTAACCACACCAGTGGCAGCGAGGCACAGAGGGGAGGGCAGAGGGGGTCTGCATGAAGAAAGATATCCCCCAGCTCACCCTGTCATCCAGTACGTGGAAACCTCTTAAACACTGAGCTCTTATCTTTCCAGCTGGGCTATTACATCATTTGATTTGTTTATAGTATTTCAACTCCTGCATATGTCCTCCAGTGTTTGCAGGGCATCCTCCCTGAAATGTACAATTACATACATGAATGTAGCAAAGACACACTCACTTTTCAAAAGATGTGACAGCAATTCTTCGTTAGACAATGATACATTTCACTCTAAGTTATCCAATGCTCTACTCCAAGTGATACAACAAGGTTTCAGAACTGTAAATTAGCTGGCAGTTAGACAATATCTAAAAAGTCATTTTGAAGTGTGGAAGAAAAATATTCAGAAAACGTGATTCATTTTCATTTAGCATGATATAAACCCAATGTTGAATGAACACAGGAAACTTATGATGTGGCCTGTTGCAAAACTGGAAAGAGTAGTATCCAGTAAAAACAATGCCTTCGCATTCCTTATGGTAACCTGCTTACTCTACTGGCCAACACCAGTTCAGAAAACTGGTGGACAGCCCCAAGGGAAGACGTCAAGGAAAGCCACTGACCAGGCTCCAGCTGCGCTGATGTCATTATGTGCAAGTCTGCGGTGACATCAAACACTGACATTGTTAGGGGCTGCCGTAATAACTCAGCCCTTTCCAGACTGATGCAGCAGGAACTGATCACAACATCAACTCAAGTAGGTCATGTTTCCCTCAAAACACCCACTGCATCAATAAATAACTACAACATCAATAAATACCAGACATCTTAAAAACAAAATACATTTAAATGAATATAACTTTATATTCTGGATGATTTTCCCCTAAAAACTTATAACAACAGAAGACCTTCTCTGTGGTGGTTGACTATAATCACATTAGCTTCCACAATGAAGCCTAAGTTCTGCCCCCTCTTTAGGCCAGTAGGTCTCTGGGGGTATTATTTCCCAAACTCTCATTGAAAAGTTAATTTAATAAAATAGTGGTGTTTAAGGGAAAAAAAAAAAAACTATTACTTTTGAATTGTTTTAACTCTCTATTCTCTCTATTGCCTTCAGCTAATCCCAATATGGAAGCCTGAACATTACAGAATCTGGCCAGTTAATACTGCTTAAGGGGGCAGGTGTCCAATACAGCACTCAAGACAAACCTTGAGAAGCCAGCATCCCATAGTGGAGTGCCTGGGCCCAAGTCCCATCTGCACTCTTCATTTCAGCTTCCTACTAATGCACACCCTGGATGGCAGAGGTGGTGGCTCAGTAGTTCACGATCTGCCACCCACATAGGAGACACAAACTGACTGCCTAGCTGTGGCTTTGGTCCTCATTTACGGAGTGAACCAGTGGATAAGAGAGCTGTCTGTCCATCTACTTGTCTCCCCCACACTCCATCTCTTGTCTGCCTTTCAAATAAACAAAACAAATAAATACATAAAAATTTACAAATATACTGACTACTTAGTTTGGCTGTAAAATCAGATTCGCTGTGTGGAGGCCGGCGCTGTGGCATAGCAGGTTAGGTCTCCACCTGCGGTGCTGCCATCCCATAGGGTGCCGACTGGAGTCCCTGCTGCTCCACTTCTGATCCAGCTCCTGAGGAAGCAGCAGAAGATGGCCCAAGTGCTTGGATACCTGCATCCACAGGGGGGACCCAGAAGAAGCTTCTGGTTCCTGGCTTGGGATCGGCCCAGCTCTGGCAATTGCAGCCATCTGGGGAATGAACCAGTGGATGGAAGACCTCTTTCTCTGTCTCTCCCTCCCTATTTCTCTGTAACTCTGCCACTCAAATAAATAAATACATCTTTTAAAAAATATCCATTGTTTGAAGAGTAGACAGAAAAAGGATTGCTATATTAATTTTTATATTGATTTTAATTGCACAAAGTTTGACCTAAAAACTTTTAGCATTATCTAAACATTAAGAGTTAATTTTCAAGACAGAAAAATGAAAAAATTTCAATATAGACTTGACCTACTTTACCATGGGGACAGACAATAGGTTCTTTGAAAACTATTAAGCAAGCAGGAGTACAAATTATTGCAATTACCTTAGAAAACTCTTGGGCAGAATCTACTAAAGAAGGACCTATACACATTGAATGACCCATTAATTCCACTCCTAGAACCCAATAAATTACATACAGATGTTCATCAAAAGAGATATCTAAGAATGTTCATAGTAGCACTCTGACAGTCAAAAAACGGAAAGAATATAAATGTCTGTCATTTTGTAGAATGTATACAAAGTGTGTATCTTCTCATGATAAAACCATACACAGAAAGCAGAATGAACAACTACATGTAACTTGAATGAATTTCACAAACAAATGAAGGCAGACATAAAGAATATGTAGTATACAATACATTTAGATAAAGCCAAAACAGGGGGACTGAATCTAAGTGTTAGATCAATCTGTGAATGCTGGGGAGCAGGTGGTGACGGAAAGGATCAAGAGTGGGTGGGTATGGTGGTGCAGCAGGTTATCTGCCGCTTACAACACGGATATGCCATCCCAAAGTGCCAGTTTGAATCCCCACTACTCCATTTCCAATCCAGCTTCCTACTGAATGTCCATGGAACACAGTAGAAGATGGCCAAAGTACTTGATCCTTGACACCATGTGGGAGACTAGGATGGAGTTCCTGGATCCTGGCTTCAGTCTGGCCCAGCCCTGGCTGTTGTGGCCATGCAGGGAGTGGTGGATGGATGATCTCTCTCTCTCTCTCTCTCTCTCTTTACCACAGCCCTCATCCCCAGTCTCTGTCTTTTCTACTCCATCACTCTGCTTTTGAAATAAATAAATCTTCCCGGGGGGGGGGGGGGGGGGAGAAAGTGTTAAGAGTGAATGCTGGCCAAGAGATAATAGAGAAACAAAATGCTAACATCACTAACATCAGGGAAATATAAATCAAAACCACAAAGAAATACTGCCTCACTCGGGTTAGAATAGCTATTATCAGCCGGTGCTGCGGCTCAC